TGCAAAACCGTGCAAAAAACGTGCAAAAAACGTTCCACATGTCATGTCATGCAAAAAACAAGCTGTTCGTGTCATGAAAAAAAACAAGCTGTTCAACATGTCATGTCATGCAAAAAAACAAGCTGTTCCACGTGTCATGCAAAAAACGTGCAAAACCGTGCAAAAACAAGCTGTTCCACATGTCATGCAAACACCATGCAAACACCATGCAAACACCACGCAAACACCATGCAAACACCATGCAAACACCATGCAAACACCATGCAAACACCATGCAAAAACCATGCAAAAACCATGCAAAAACCACGCAAAATGCGGCGCGTACGGAGTGCCAACCCGCCGAACCCACACGGCCCCCCGCGTCCTTGCTATATGTGCTATATGTGCTATATCTCACAAGGCAAGCCACTGAACATCCACTCTCCCCCGGGTCCTTGCTATATGTGCTATATGTGCTATATCTCACAAGGCAAGCCACTGAACATCCACTCTCCCCGGGTTCCTATATGCTATATGTGCTATATGTGCTATATGGCCCTATATAGCATATATAGTACAGATTTCGCGCGTACAGAGTATATAGCACATATAGTACATATAGCAAGGAGCGGGGGAGAGTGGGGGTTCAGCGGCTTGGCGTGTAAGATATAGCACATATAGTACATATAGCAAGGACGCGGGGGAGAGTGGGGGTTCAGCGGCTTGGCGTGTAAGATATAGCACATATAGCACGTATAGCAAGGACGCGGGGAAGAGTGGGGGTTCAGCGGCTTGGCGCGGCTTCAATGCCGGGCAGGCGCGGCCAGGAGGCTTCTGTGCCAGGCAAGTGGCGTGAACCTCTCTCTGTAGAGGGGGTTTTCCAAATGGTTTATATTCTACCTGAGAGGCTTCTAGCACTCGTCCGTCCAGCATTTGACCTCGTCCTGCGAAGGATTCGAAGTCTAAAACGCTGCGTGCAGGCGTGAGGCTGCAAAATAGAGACCCCTAGATATGCGCCGCAATTTGGCTCCAGGTTGCATTTCAAGCGATGTCAAGCTTTGCCAAAGGAAACCCCTTTTCCCTTTTTTTCGGGGACCCCTTTTTTTGGCACCCCTTTTTTTCTTTTTTTTGTTTTTTTCTTAGCCCTGCAAAGGTTGGCTCGCTTGAAATGAACCTGGAGCCAAATTGCAAGCATATCTAGGGGTCTCTATTTTGCAGCCTCACGCCTGCACGCAGCGTTTTAGTCCTTCGCAGGACGAGGTCAAATGCTGGACGGACGAGTGCTAGAAGCCTCTCAGGTAGAATATAAACCATTTGGAAACCCCCTCTACAGAGAGAGCCTGGAACATCAAGACATAAGAGCCGTGTGGCCTTGCCTTGTCAAGCCAGCACAGCGGTATATCGCATGCTTTGAAACACTTGCACAGTTAGCACTCTGCAAGCAACCCACAGCCACATTGGTGGTGGGCACTACTCGTTTAGCATGCCGTCCGGCACGGACAATCCGCCACGGAAGCAAGCCTTAACAAATTGTTCACGACCTCATGGCCGCTGCAACTTTTTGTGCAGTTAACAGCCTTCTGGGCTCACGCTCACAACGTGCTACTGCAGCCAACGCACGTTCCAGGAAGGTGCAATGATTGGGCAGACGATCTCAGCACAGGTCGGTTGACCCGATTCAGCCATCGCCCTGAAAGTCGCATGCGCTTCAGCCCTGCAAGCCTGGCGATGTCGGCCGAGGCATTCAACTGTGTCCGATGCATGCGCCCTGGCGTCCGGAACATTTGGCAGCAGCTTCCATTGTCGCTGAGCCAGCCTAGCCTGCATCCGACTTGGCCTTCCGAACCCCTTTTCTGCCCTTGCCTTTCCAGGCAGAACAACTGGCAATGTCAGCCAGCCGCTTACACAAGCCGCTCTGACCAGAAAAAGTGCAGTCACCGCATGCCAAGCTGTTCACAACACAGCGTGCATGGTGACCCTAGCATCTGCCCTGCCAGGTACAACCCCACTCTGAAGGGCGGGTGATGAGGCCTTCGGCCCAGCTGGTTCGCTTTTAGGGGGCCTGAAACACTGAAGGGGGGTCAATGTGCCTGCTCCAGGCGCACTAGTGCCCTGGAAGCAGTGCAACTTTCAGCAATCCCGGTAAAAAGAACTGCGGCCGCTTCGGACGAACTTTGTTCTTTTGAGGTTTCATGTTTGGGTTCAAGCTGGGAGCAGTGCGACATGCCTTAACGCTTAGGGTTTCTTTTCTCTTGTGTTTGGGGCATGTGGTGAATCAAACTATGCGTTGGCCGTTTTGCTCCTAGCCTTGACCCAAACCTGCGGTTTCATTTCGAAACCCGGGTCAATGTGCCTCCTGCTCCAGGCGCACTGTGCCCTGGAAGCAGTGCAACTTTCAGCAATCCCGGTGAAAAGAACTGCGGCCGCTTCGGACGAACTTTGTTCTTTTGAGGTTTCATGTTTGGGTTCAAGCCAGGAGCAGTGCGACATGCCTTAACAAGGCGGCTGCTTCCCTGCCGGCTGTCCTCCAGGGTTTGCGCATGCCTAGCATCCATCACTCCAACCGGTCCATCGTGACAGGGTTCCCGCTGTTCGGCTGACCGTTGAGTTTGGTGGGGCAGGTCAAGTGTCCCCGTCAGTAGAAGCCGACGTTGCTTTTCTTTGCAGTGGGCCTGATGGCCAAGTGTATGGACCCACGTCCTTGCCCGTCGACTGGTGTGAGGAGGCAGGCTTTCAGCGTGACCGCCTGCAATGACCGGGTGGCGCTTACCCTCCATTCTGCCGCAACGCTTGGCCACGCATGTACAGTGACAACTCTACTTGGAAGGTTGCGGATGCCATCGCTTCTCACCGTGCTAGCGTGACCGATGTGCAGTACTTTGCGTGTAGCATGTACCGCCCGCATGCTCGTTCCTGATAGGCAGCACCATGATTGCCAGCTTGCTTTCCGGGAGAGGGGCTCTGCTCAGGGGCTTTTGGCTGGCTCCTACTCGTGCACAGCAGCGGCCATTGTGTGGAAGCACGTCCTTGATTCCGAATCCAGGCTCCACGTACGCATTGGGGGTCTTCTCGGGCTCACCAGTGAACGCTGGTTCCTTGCTGCATGAAATCAATCGCTACAGCCAGTTGTCCAGGTTCTTGGGGTGTGTCGACCTCTTACTTGTTGATGAAGCCCAGCAGGCTGGCCAAGCTGCCTACGTGGCGGTCCATGGTGCAGTGCCCCGCACAGCCCTGACTGTAAACATGACATAGAAATGTAAAATGGGACATGATACATGACTCACATGTTTCCCAACATGGTTTGCGGCGCAGGCAGTTTGAGTTGAAGCTGAGGAGAAAACTTTTCGGCCCAATGGCTATGACCGACCAAACTTATTTGAACAAGTGCGGACTTTGCTGTTTTTTGGAAGCAAAACAAACCTGTTCGAACAGGTGAACTCGGTCCGGAGTTTGTAATTTTTTGCGACCAAGCTTGATCGAAAATAAACCCGTCGGACTTTGTTGTTTGGGAAGAAACTTGTTTGCAAAAATGAACCTTCAGCGCTTTTCTGGGCGCGCCGAACTTCAGCAACAAACTGCGCCCGAAGAAAAAAACCTGTTTGGCCCCCGTTTTTGTTGATTTCAGCGCTGGTGGGGCTGCGGCAACTGTTGGGTCGACAAGGAAGAAAAACAGGGCGGGAGTCGTGTTCGGGCATGGATTTGATCGTTGTTGTCCAGGACTGCGTGTTTTCCGCAGGGCAACCGCCCGTCCGGCTGTTCCTGTGGAACTCAGTTTCGCCCGGGTTGCAACTTTAGCGCTCGTCTGATGAAAATTGTGATGCAGCTTGGACATTGGGCTACTCGGTGGGCGTTTCACTCCTTTGCGTGCCTTTCCCTGTTGCGTTGAGCGCAGGCTCCGCATGGTGGCAGCACAGAGTCGCCTGTTCGCCGCAGACTTCGCAGCGTTTTTCCTTTTGGTTCTGGACTCTTTTGTTTGGGCCTTTTTTTGTTGATGTCAGCACTTACCGCCGCTGGAGCTGTGGTGTTCGTTGGTTTTCATTGTGCATTGCGGACCATCGTTATCGACGATGGCTGCAAGGTAAACAAAAACTGGGTTGCGCGGTGTCCTTGTTGTAGCGGAATTTGGCCTGCGTTTGTTGTTTGCTCAGCGCGTCAGCCTTGACGATCCAGCCGCATCGCCGTGCGTGCTTATGTTGTGCATCTGGCTGTCATCGTGCGGGATGGCTCCTCAGGCCACGTGTTCCTGTTGGGGTGTCAGTGTGTAAGTTGAGAGCGCGAGAGCACGCATTTGTATGTTGCGTGAGTGAGTGAAAGTCGTTAGTCACTGTGTCAGTGCAAGTTGAGTGAGTGAGAGTGAGGGCAGGGTGAGGTAAGTCACGATACGTGTGTGTCAGTCAGCGAGTGTGCGTTGGAGGAAGAAGAAAGAAGGAGGAACCAACGCACCAACCCACCAAAAAACAATCAAACAGCTGAAACCACAACCACCAAGATTCACAAAACCATAGTGCTTCCCTATGTTTTGGAGCTGGTTTGCAAAGATAGATGATATGTGCACTTCGTTGCAATGTGCCATCAGTTTTAACGGTCAAGCTTCCAAACTGGCACAGACACACACACACACATACAATTTGCGGAGACTAAATTTGGTGCGAAACGAGTCTATGCTGTTCTGGCATGTACAAGTGCGATATGTTTGCCTGCACATTTTCTTTAAAGGTTCATGTTTGCATTTGCCCATAGCCATGATGCGACATCAGTGGAGCTTTCCTTTGCTCAGTCAGCAAAGTGAGTTTATTGAGAACTGAATTTGTGCAATGCTCAGACACGAACCATACTGACCCGCACCTAGGTCAGTAAACATTGTTTTGGTGACACTTTCGTCATGCAATTGAGAAAACAAATGCAATTCTACCTTACCTTATGAGTTGCAAGTTTTACACGGCATGAAAAGAGACTCGGCGGGGTGGGGTGGAATTTGCTTTCCAAAGGAAGACACCAAACAAACACCAGCAATGCAACCTGCACCTGCCCTGCAATCGTGCCAGACGGTAGCTTTGGCGAGCAATGGATGCCGAGCTTCTGCAACGATTCAATCCGGAGGCAGGGTGCTTGCTTAGGGGCAGTGTTCGCGGTATTAGGTTGAATGCACAGTGATCTGACTGCTTGATGCAAACATCATGCCTTGGATATTCAGGTTGAAGTTGGCTGGTGGGTTTTGGGGTGGCGGCAAACCTTTTATTAGTCTTGTCAAGTCCTGGTAATACCAAGCGCTGCCAAGAGACTTTGAAAGCCCGCATTTTGCTGCACATCATTTGCGGGCATATGTGTATCCAACAACATGCAACCTACATTTTGAGGAAACAACATTTGACATACCCAGCCGTGAGCCTCGTCTATTTGCTCCACCACCATTCATCACGCAATGCCCAAATAAGCCGCATCCTCGACTCACCAGTTTATCACTCGTACTTTGGCTTTCGATCCTGAGGTTATCAGTGAACATGTTTCTTCGCCATTCGCTTTTTTTTTTCTCCGAATTTCCAGCTCGCCTTTTTTCCCCCACAACTCTTTTGGTTTTGAGGGGATTTTTCTTGGACCAAAGGTCAACGCATCCTCGAAACCGAGGATCTTATGTTGCTTGTTGGTCCATACGTCCGCCGAGTCCGAGTTCACCCGTCACCCGTGCGGCCGGAGCGAGGAGTTCTACCGGCACTTCTTGGCCGACGGGCTGCGGCCGGACGGGCGGCAGCTGCGGCAGAGCCGGGCCGCGGAGCTGCGGAAGGGCGCCCTGGGCCGGGGGCCCCGAGGGGGCGCTGGGCCCTGGGCCAAGAGTGGCTTTTTGGCCACGGGGTTAAACCCCGGCCTTTCAAGGGGTTTGGATGAGAACCCGTACAGCCAGGAAGTCATTGGGAGATGGTGAGGAGAGAAGTGATTGAAGCTCATGTCCTGTCTCCCTTCTCTCGTCTGTATATTGGGTCGATGATGAAGGCTTTGGTTCTTGGCAGATCACACGACCTAACTATGGCTTGAGGGTGCTGCAGGATTGACTTGAAGCGAGGCTGGCACAGCAGCCCTTGAGCATGGTGTGGTGTGGCACCTGCACCACCCAATAGCCAGCAATTCGAGATGCATTGGAAAATAATACGATTGCACATTGCACATCGCACAGAAGTTTAGCCATCAATGAGGCCCTAAGTTTGACGCGATCTTTAACGTGTGGTGGCCTGCAGAAGAAAATAAAACAACCTGCGGACAATCATTCCAATCGACCATGCTTACGCACTGCACTTGTATAGCCCGTCCTGAAAAAGGCTGTGTGTTGAGTAGCTGATTCTTTTATGCCTGGTTTTACTGAGACTTGCAACCAGGGGCAAAACACAGGTCCTCCTTCTGACAAGATGCTAAAACATCGGCGCGGGCCAGGCTCCGCATGTGGGTCCGCCTCGCTGCGGCTGGGGCGCTCCTCCGTGCTCGCGGGGGTGCGGGCTGAGCTGGCGACGGAGGGGATGGGAAGAAGTTGGGACCGAAACACGCGAAGCTGACTGCCGGGAGCAGAGTTTTTTTTTGAACCTTGATCGTGTGGGGTGCTTTGTGAGTGGGATGGCATGGAAACCAGAAACTGTCCTGAGACCTAGCAGGGTGTTTTATGGGACGCTTTTGTGCTGGGCGGGCGAACTATAGCAGACAGACGCGTGCAAATGGGTCCCATTCAACAAAACCTGGGGCCCCCTTCGTTTTGCTCACTTGCTTTCAACCAAGACGACCTGGGAAAGCAGAAACGTGATCATCTTTTGGGGTATGACATGTAATTAACCCAAACTAAGGTCCAGAGGTCAGAGATTCCTCTCAGGACCCACCCCGCCGTGCCAAATGAGCGTCGTGTAGGCATTTCCCAAAATGAATGTAGGAGGGCATTCAGCCAAGACGCGCAGCAATCACATGTGGTCGCTCGGAGCTCTCCCGGTGATAATGAGACATATCAGGATGTTGCGTGCGCCACTTCCTTTCTGCATCATCAACGCAGGCTTTTTCCTCTCTTGCGGCTGGTTTCCCCAGTTTGAATGTCCCAAAGAAAATTGTCTGGCATGGGATTGCACCCGCCAGATGCAGGGCAGCGGGACTCGTTTGCATGCCCTGCAAATACTCCCTTGATGAGAATCACATGGCACCCCAAAACCCGATCTGTTTTTAGAAGAAACGCAGCCCTTCTTAAAAAGCTGTGCCCTTTACTGGGTGAAGGCGTATGTCACCATTCCAACTCATTTTGGTTTGGTCGTCCCTTCACTTGCCCACCAGGGAACTGTGACTGCTTTCACTCTGATATAATTTCAATGATTGGTTTCCTTTTGGTTTCCCTTTCAGTGCCATTTTGAGGGTCCAAAGGAAAGGGGCTCCAACGAGATTTGAGGATTTGTAGGGAAGCCTGGCCAAAAAGGCGTCAAGCACCACCAAGGTCATTTTTTTTTGAAGCACTGCACTTGACCAAGGCCAAATTGCGGATATATTCGCTAAGCCGCATGAATAAGTTTCCATCCCGAATCTTTTGTTATCATGTGGAAGCAACAACGGAGGATGTTTGCAGTCAAATCTGGGTGTTGCTCAAAATTGGGGGCCCCTTATTGGTCCAGGCAAGTTCAAGGGACAAGGTTTGTGGACATGAATCCCCACCGAAGCTCCAAAGGGTTTCTATTGAAACTCATGGGTTTGTCTGAAAGGGAATGACACAAATAGGTGGTCTCCTGTTGGTTTCCCTTCCAACACTCCAAAAGGGTCCGGAAAAAAGACAAGAACAACCACAAAAACCAACAAGCAGGTCTTTGTTTTGGTTTCCTCCAGAAAGGGTCCGGAAAAAGACGAAACACACACATCGACCACAGAACCAAAACGTTCTTCGCCGCGCGCCGCGGGTGTCGCGTCGGCGTGCAGGAGGAGGCCTTGGGCCGCGTGGAGGTGTCCGTGGAGCTCCCGGCCCTGGCTGGCGCCCTCTTCCGGGAGAAGCACCGCGCGCGCTTCGGCCGATCCGATGGATCCAGCGTTTGGCCGGAGGGGCCGGAGGGGCCGGAGGGGGCGGGGAGGGGCTGGACAGGGGGCTGGACAGGGTCAAGGGGCACCCGAGCCCGAAGTTGTTTTTGGCGTGGAGCGGATTGTTTGTTGTTTTTGGCTTGGGAGGTTTTTGGCGAGCCTTTTAGGTTTGGGTAGGGTTGCAGCAGGGGGGAGGTTGGCTTGGACAGGTTTGGGAGGAGTCCGCGAAACGGCCTGTGGCCAAGCGAAAAAGGGTGCCAGTTGCCGGTGAAGAAGAGGTGCCGCTGTTTGCGGGCTCTTTCCTTTGGCACCAAATGTCACATGTTGGCTAAGCTGCTGTACCATTCTGTGGCTGTTTCCTGCCAGGGCCCCAAGTGTGCCTTTCCCTAATTCTTTTTAACGGGGTTGACCAAAATCCGACGTTTCGGACGAATGTAGCGGGGGAATCGCCAATTACACATTTCATGGGTTCCACCCGATTTCCGTTTTTGTTTTTAGAGCCTACACAAACCGACTGCCCCTCCTCTGCCCCTCCTCTCACGTGAAACCCGTCTGGACGTGAGCGGGTGAGGCTGGGCCTCATGTCCTTCCTGTCCAACACCCTCACGGAGCTGCTGAACTCCCCGGCAGTGTTCGACCCGGCGCAGCTGGCAGTGCAGAAGGAGGTGGACGTTTCACAGCCCGAAGGGAAGCGAAACCCATGGCTGTGGTCGAAACCGGTTTGGGATCCCATTTTGGGGTAGGTGACTTCACCACCCATTTTAGAACCTATGTTAGGGGGGATTGGGATGTTCACTGGGGGTACGGGAGTTTGACCCATGGCCACTCAAAGGGAGATACAACAGAGAGAGGGAGAGATTTCGGCACCCAGATTTTTGGGCGCCACTGCTTGGCCCTCAACTTTTCGAAAGCTTTTGGAGCGATCCGGGCCGGGGGGTGAATTTAGGTGTGTTGGATGCTGAACGTCCACATCCTGTGCCTCAACTACGATGGTGCCGCGGCAACCACGAAACCTTTCGATCGGGGATCGGGGCCCCGTGAAACGAACCCTTTTGATCCCAAGCCCGCGGAGTGTCGCAAGAAATCGAGACTTGACCTGTCAAGTCCATACGGATGGCAAATCCACGAGAGTTCCGAGCGACATTTCTGAGTCCGGGTTTCGGCTGCGATTCGGGGCAAGGCAACGCCTTCGACTTGTGCCTGCTGGCAGCCATTGCGGCGCTGGAGGAATGGGAAGGTTGCTGTGTGGAGCTGGTGGGTTTTGCTCTGGTGGTGGGGTTTTTCCATCCATGCGGGTCAGATGGACTTTTTTTTCTTCATTTTTTCTCCGGATTCGCAGAAGTTTTTGACCTGACGACTTCCGGGCTTTCGTCATGCCTGGTTTTCAACTTCCCTAACAGTGACAGTAGGCTTTTGGCCGCCTTTGGGGCACGGCTGGCAGAGCCAGATCTGGGCGAGGCTACCACCATTCTTCGGAGGCAATATCAAGCCAGCCACGTGCCGTTGGCAGGACACGCGGCTGCCAGCCTTAATGGCGGAGTCGGGTGAGGCTCTGTGAGCGACGCTCAAAGTACCCATCTAAACCTTTAAAGGTATGTGGGTAGAGTTCAAAGTTGATTATATCTTTTTCGGCACGGTAGAATCTAAAGTATGACCTGGCCCCTCCCAAATGGACCATTTGCTACTGGATATTTTGCCCGAACCTCTTTTGGGTGGTGTTCCTTAGGGAGCGAGAGAATGGGTCTTTTGAAGTTTCTCAAAGGCTGAGACATTTCTGAACCCTTCCTAGCAGGAACTGCACGGAACCTGTCCAGGACAAAAGGATCGCTTGCGGGACTCCGGAGTGACATGTTGTGACTATGGAGGTTGGTATGTTAGAGGCTTGAAGGACTCATTAAATACGCTTCAAAGTTTTCGACATCGAAGGCAGCCGTCGCCGTTGGCCGATCAGGTCCACTGACTTCAGTATGGTGTGAGTGACACCCCTACACAAAGTTTCGTCATTGCTTCACTTTCCCGTTCCAAAAGGAAACCAGGGAGTCGTGGGATCTACTTCTTGACACCCTAATTGTTAGGCTGCTTTCAATGATGACGGCTGTGAATGGCAAGTCAAGCTCCAAAGGGACTGGTTGCAAGTGATCGGGATCAGCCCAGTAGTTGCATGGACCATAAGAACAAGGTGTATATATATATATACATATATGCAGCAGCTATTCGAGACGCGTCTGAACATGAGTCACAATCCAAGATCGGGTAGATGAATGTTAGTAAGGGACGATCCCAGCCATAGCTGCGGATATCCGCCTTCTTGATTCTTGAAGCATGGTTCTGGGCTTACCATTATTTTGATACCGGGTTTTGATGACCCACATGAGGGACCATGTCTCAGGGTCACCGAGTCGCGCGGGCCGCGGCCACTCGCGAGCCAGGTGCCGCGGCTGGCCGTGGCGGCGCCAGGCTCGGAGCTAGTGGCGGAGGCGCGCTCAATGCGAAAGCGGGAGAGGTTGTGACGTGCAAGGTATGGGTGTTTCAAGCCGTTCGGGTAGAAAGAAAGCCTTCCAGAAGCTTAACAACACAAGTTCATGTTCGAGTTGTTTCTGAAAAAAGTGGGTCCCGCTGGAGTGCTTTTTTGCTTCTGTTTAAATGGCGACCAGAACAGAACCATTTCGGAAAAGCTCAAATATGGGTCTGTCTCCAAACCGGGATCTTCAAAATGTGTTGTTTCCCTTTGGTTTGCCTTCCAACCGGCCCAACATGGGTTTTCGGCCAACTCCCTGGCGACTGCCAGGCTCGGCAACTGGCGCTGTTGGCACGCCCGTTGCCGACGACCTTCGCGCAGATGCCAGGCGTTTTTTTTCTTCTTCTTCTTCTTCTTCTTTTTGGGTGGGTGGGTGGGTGGGTGGGTGGGTGTAAGTGGTTGCGGTTGTTGGGTTTCGGCGGTTTGTACGTGTTGTACCTTCTTGTCTTTTGGGTTACCTCTACAGGGAGGCATGATGAGAAGTAAGTGCATTGCTGAGGCAGAATCAATGTGCCGCGGGGGCGCTGGGGAATTTTCAAGAAAGCGTCCTGTTTTGCAACGTGATGTCTTTATCAAGCCCCCAATGAAGCAGCATGAGCATGTTGGAAAAGAAGCTTCAGCAGTTCAAGCATGGCTGAGAGTTGTGACCAGGATTCAGCGCGGATGCACTATTTGTGGATTCATCCCGTGGCAGAATGTTCAGCACGTTCAATCCAAAAAAGCATGTTTCCTGGGAGGCAGCGTACAGTGGTGACGCAACAGTTCGACCGGGCATGAGGAAGCTGACCTCCTTAGCCAAGCCGTTTCCACATTGAAAGGATTCGCAAATAGGACTTTCTAGTCCATCGAAAGGAAACAGGGGCAAGCCAGCCATCTTTTCTTTTTCCATAGGGGGGGGGGGAGTATAAATGGCTGTGGCTCAACAACCCGTTACCGAAAGGGAACCCTGGTAAGTGGAAACATGGACCAAAACCTGCGTAACCCCTCCTGTTTAACGTAACCCCTGTTTCATGTTGAGCCACACCCAAATGTATTTGGCTTCCTTTGCAAAGAGCCAAGAGCACTCGCCGGCTGAGGCGGCCAGTGGGTGCTGGACCCCTGTGCCGCGGAGGAGTCGCTGGGCGCCTCGGTGTCGCTGTGCCTCGTGGAGGGGCGGTGGCTGGTGTTCCACCAGGCGCGGAGAAGCCAGAAAATGTTCGGCTGCACCGGAAAGGAGACGTTTCACGGGGAACCTGGGAGGAGGGGAGGGAGGGAGGCCAAATACGGCCTTAAGGGGTTAGTGAGCCAAGCATAGGGCCCCAAATAGGGCCTCCCCTTCCTCCCCCCAGCCCCATCCATCGTCGCATCGACCGCGGGACAACTCTCCGCACGCCGCGAACGCCAGGGCGGGGGCGCGGACGCCGGCCGCTTCCTGGAAGAGTTGATGCCCCTGGCGCGGGGCGAAATGTCAAAGCTGACGCGGCTCCTGGAGAACTAGCCGCGGGGAGAAAAAACAAGAGAAGACATGGGGCGCTGGTGTGGGTTAGTCAAGATGTGGGCTGGTGTGGATGTTAGTGGGTGGATGTGGGTGAGTGGGTGGTTGTGGGTGAGTGGGTGGATGTGGGTGAGTGGGAGAGTGGGTGAGTGGGTGAGTTGCGGGGAGGATCTGGCTGGTTTCTGGTATGAATTTGGCTGGTTCCATGCTGCGTGTTTCTGGTATGAATCTGCGGAGAGGATCCACAAGCAGACTACCAAGATTCCTTTACCTTTGTCTCCGAAACTGATATTCTCGGTTTGTAAGGAGCGCGTTGCGCTGTGTGGGCCTTGCCGCGCTGGGGCTCAACCAGAGGTACAGTGCGGCAGTGCGGTTCATGGTGCCAGACATGCATCACAGGCTTGCCGACACCTAGCCATGCTTGCCAAGGAACAGAAGGGCAGAGCGCACAAAGCCAAGTTGAGAATGCCAAGGCAAGTTTGCGTCCCTGTTTCTCAAGCCGATCCAACGGCACATCGAGCATAGGTCACGTTTGCGCCATCTTTTCGGGGTCGGAGGGCCAGGTGTTGGCCTCCTGGATGTCACTCGTCGGGGCAGTGCAGCCATGCGCATCAAGCAGGCGCCAAAGAACGCGTCTTCATTTTGTTTCTTGGATTTTTAGGCCCTCTACGGTCATGATCATAGGAGTGCCCCGTGAAGCCTGAAACAAAGGGGGTTGGCGGGGTTCGAGACATGTCCGCCCTTGGACCCTCCTGCCCCCTTGCGCTGCTTTTTTGAGTGGTAAAACGAAGAAGGTCCAAAACTTTGACCGCAGCGAAAGAAGGACTCCATCAACCTCAGACTGCTTTGAGGCACAACCCAAGCAGGAGTGCCGTTCTGGCAAATAAGCCCGGCTGGACCGCTCGCTTTGCCCCCTTGCGTAGGTCCTCATCCGGGGCTTCAAGACCTACAAGGATCAGGCAGTGCGACAGTGTTTGGAGCTTGTTGTTGGATGAGGGTGAGATGGGGTTGTCGGCTTTTTCTCTCTTTTTTTTTTTTTTGGGGGGGGGGGAGCCTTTTGTTGTGGTTTTAAAGGAAGCCAACAGACAAACCACCATTTTGGTGGGTTCACTAAGAAACGACACACCGGATGGCTGGCTCGGGAGGATGGGGACCCAAGCGCTACCTTTGCCTTTTGCTTAGATTGTGCCGCTACTGCGCGTTTTGTTGGCTGTGGAACTGGCTGGGTGTTCCCAGAGTGCACAGCCTGACCCAATGGCCAGGTGAGCCTGAACGAGGATTTTCACCCTGGAGTTAATGTCATCGTTGGCGCTGCCCCTAGTGGCGTGTGTCCAGCCAAGACGTGCAGAGCTTTCCTTCCTTGGCAGGGTTCTCAGTTGGTATTACTCCCTTCGTGAAGATGCCCTGCTTGCCCCGTGCACATCAGAAGCAAGGGGCTCGTTTGGTTCTGTTCCATATCTCTTTAGGTTCTGCTACCCCCCAACCCACCTGCTACTTTTGCTTGCTTTAAGAACCAAGGGTTAGGGGTGCGGGGATACGTCTCAACATGAGGCGACCCAAGGTTACAACCACGGCCAAAATGGGTGGATTTTGTGCCGGTTAGGCCAGAGGTCGCCACCATTTCAATAGGCGTCCCAAAGGTTGCAATGCACTTCCAAAGGTTGAATGCTTCTCTTCAGACGCCACCCTATATTTGTGCGGTTTTGCTTGGCCATGTTCTACAAATCTGAGAAATCCACACAGCGGGACTGGAGGTTTCAATGGCTCGGGGAAGAGCAACCTTTTCAACGCCATCCTTTTCGTGATCTCTGACCACTTCGGCAGCTTGCGGCAGGCGCGGGCTTGGTTAAGGAATGCTTTGGGCCTCCGAAGAAGTAGCAGAAGGATGGGAGTGACTGAGGTCCGCATCTGACATGTTTCGATCTTCGTTTTGATCCCAGCGATGCGTTGGGACTGACCACAAGATTGTTTTTCTGATGGCCTGCAGCTGCAGTGGCGGACTGACTCGGGATTTGAGAGCAAGTGTAAGTCCCGTTTAGACCAAATACTGTCGGGGAATCGTTGGTGTTGGGTCGGCTTGGCCTGATTTGCTTGGCAGTTTCGCTTTGGCTTGCGAGCAACATGGGGATTTCCTGTCTCCAATGTTTCCAGCTACGTCTTTATACCTTTGGGGAGGATCAGCGCAGCAGTAACCCCAAATCTTCTCTTTTTCCGGTCAGTCCACCTGTGGCTTCTTGGAAGCCAACCAACCAGGAGACACGCCGGTCGCTGCTGCACGAGGGCGCAGGCCCCGCAGTCCGGGTCCCGACACCCCGCCCACCCCGCCCAGCCCGCCCACCCCGCGCCCGCGTTGTGGTTCACGGGCTTGCTAGTTTGGCTGCAAACAGCTGGCTTGGTGTCTTTGCCATGTCTTGACGCGACTGCCCTGTCGTGGGGTACCTCGTGCATGCTTCAAATGCTCTGCTTACGAAGGCATCCAGGGTCAACACTTTGCCGCTCGCGGATGGTTCATTCGGCTGGTTAGGGCCTGGGTTCAACTGCTCGTTTCGCAGACGGCGTCCTTTCAGAGAATGCTGCTGATGTGAAGTGGGGAGTTTTTTTCCCTACTCCTTGACATGGTTAGACTTCTGCGTGCTTGAAAACAAACTATCGATATACCCTTCCTCCCACGAACATAGCACCTCTAGGAAGTTTAATTTCCTCTTGAGGAGAACCCTTTGACATGAGCTTGAGCTCCAGAGTCGCTTGGAGGCAGGATTCCCAGATTCTCAGAGTGGCCTGCCATGAGTTCCTCCCGAAAAACTCGACAGGTTCGGACTTTTGCTGCAGGGGCACACCTTGTGCTAAACGGTTGCGTGGCCCTGCGACAGGGGAAGAAATAGTTCTACTCCCACAGGGTGGTTTGCTGCCTCGTTTTCGGCTGTTTAGGGAATGGATTTTGCAAGGATTCTTATGGTTCTTCAAAACAATCCATGATAGGGGAAGCAATAGTCCTGCTCCCCACGTCTTAGGCAAGGACGTAGAGGTCCTGACCCCACGTGAGCCACTGGCTCAAAACCCGGGTAGATGAAGGTTAGTAAGGGACAATCCCGACTATAAATAGCTGCGGCCGCCTTCTTGATTCTTTACATGGTTGTGGCTCAAAGTAAAGAGCTAGCGTTACGCAGGTTTTAGTCTTTGGTTCCACGAACCAAGGTGCCATTTTGGTACATGTTTCTGACCCACCACATGGTTCCGGGTCGACTATTTTTTTTCCAGGTTTGAGTGTGACTCACGTGCAATCCGAGGTGCTCACGGCCTTTGTCGAGATCGCCGTTCCGCCGCGCTTGGATGTTGGATCCGTGGGGTCGAAGCGCTAGGCGGTCAGAGCAGTTTTGATCAAAAAGAGATGGCTGGCAGCCTTCAACAAGTCAACAGAGACTTTCTTGTTGTGGGCCAAAGGGGGGAAGCCAGAATGAACACGGATCCTGTTCGAGGAGGTTGCCGAACATCAAATCCATGCTGCAAAAGCCCGTGACCATCTCGTGAAGCGGTACCACAGTCTCGTCAACGGCCATAGGCATCCCCATCGGCTCGACTCGACTCCACTATTGCCACGAAGCTCCCGAAAGATTGCCCTTCGCTGGAGTAACATAGGAGTGAAGGCCTCCCCATGAGGGGGCGGGGGGCGGCAGGGGCTTTTGGCGGCCAGGTCCAGTCATCCAGTCCAGTCATGTCAGCACGCGAGTCGTTTGGCGTAGGAGAGGAACACATGCCCAAAGCGAAACCAACTTAGACGGGGGTTCTTGATTTGGAGACACATGAGTCTTCCTGCTCGCAAGCTCGGCTTGAGTTGTCATGTCAGTGCACTGGCGCGGTGGTTTGTGGGGCACCGTGGCTTGCACAGGCCCCTGGATTCATGTTGCTTTTCAGGTCCGAAAGGCAAGCCATTCGACGGGCACAGTTCTCCCTTTGCAATATGAGCGCTTCCTCGTGCCGTTTCGGCTACAGCAGTAGCGGCAGTAGCGGAGTGTCTCGACCTAACGTCGACTTGAGCAAAGATACCATGACAAGTCGCAGTGAAGCTTACTGGCCTGTGTTCTTTCGAGCTTCAGTGCGGACACTCGTTGCCATTTTCAAGTCGAGGCACTCCAGTTTCACCTGCCATGATGAGCAGCAGGAATCAGCGAGGACTGAAAAGGGGAGGGCACTTGCGTACATTTTCTAGCACGGCATGTCAGAAGTTGCAACCAGTGAAGCAGTCCATTGTGTATGCACTGACTTCTTCGGCTGAACTCGACAATAGTTTGACACATTTAGGTCGCGTCTTTTGGGGCACAGTTGTTGTAGGAGTCGTCCACTCCGGGGTGAGAAGTGAAGTTGACTTGGAGCAGGTTTGCTTCGTGTTTGTTGCTGTAGCTTCTTTGTGGTAGGCATGGATGGGGGCGGCACCTACGCCCCACTTTCAGGGCGCCAAGAAGTCCCTTATTTTTTTCGGGCTTCCTTTTGATTGCCCCAAGGAGGATCGATCCTTTGGATTGCCCCAACAAAATGGCGGGTCAAAATTAATGGTCGCATTTTGGTTGGTAGGTGAATTCACCACTTATTTTTTGGCACCTATTTTCGTGGTTGGATGGGTTGATGTTCACTGGGGGCACAAACCTTGGCTTTTGACCCAAAGTGACGCAGAGGTCGCAGCTCCAGTGGCTCGGCGGTGAATGCCACAGAGGCCAAGCAGAGCGCGGGGGTCAAGGACAAGGCGGGTTGCGGATTGCGGCGGGTGGCTTTGAGAAGTGGCAGGGGGATAGGGAGACTTGCACTTTTTCAGAACAAGGAAGGTTTCAGAAGGCGTCTTAGGAAGTGAAACTAAGCCTTCCAAATATGCTCCGCCGGTGGTTCAAAAGTGGTTTGGATCTTTTTGGTAGGTGAATTCACCACCCATTTTAGAACCTATTTTAGTGGTTGGATTGGTTGATGTTCATTGGGATGCATGGCCACTTAGAGCCTTTTGCGCCTTTTGGAGCCGGGGCGCGCATTGGAGCTACCAGAAAGCTTGGGTGTTTTTGGTCTTTGGAGTGTCTCTATCTTTCAGATGGCAGATGACAGAAGAGCTTTATGTTGCCTTTTGTTGCGACGGACACCAAGGGCTTTTCCAATACAGGCTTTTGCATGAAAGGGGGTGGCACCTTGCAAGGCGCACTTGAAGCGAACCCTGTCGACGATCGCCCCTCGGCTTTGAAAGGGCTCCGTGCGCTCCTTTGGTGGGGGCGGATGATGCGTTTCTTTTGGGGGGGCCGTTTTCAAAACAGAAGCAGCTGTCCGTGGGGTGGTGGGGGGGGGGGAAGGGAACAAGATGGGGGCCCGGTGTCATGGCCACTTTGTAGTGGTGAAACATTTGGGTGGGAAATATGACAACCTCTTGAAGAAGCAACACAGGTCACGAAACAAACTATACAACCCCGAGCCGGTCTTTCGTAAGGAGAAAGACTCGTTGCGCTACAAGAAGGGGCTGGTGAAGCCGTGGCTAGACGAGGATGGCAACAGGATCTGGTCTTCTGCCAGGACTGTAGCCGCGGTGCTGGTGAAAGGCCGCTCCCTCTGGTTGCATGTTGACGGGCAGGGTCACGTTTTTTCTTTTTCTTTCAGGAGCCGAGCACCAAAAAGGATCCTAAAGAGAACATCATCAGCCCTTTGAGGAAGAGCATTTGCACAGAACAGCTTGCAAACGCAACTTGCACACGGTAATTGCTTTTGTTTGAGTGGCATTGACGATGTCTTCCAGAAAGGGCTTGACGTCAGGATCGGGGTGGCGGAGGTGGTGATGACGCAGACCTTTGAGATGCTTGGCGAGGTAGACAGACCAGAAGCCTTCCCGGTCAGGGGTTGGCTCCAAGCGATATGGGAGCGCCTGTTCTTGAAATACCTTGTTGACCCGGATTCAATCCATTGGCAAAGGATGTGTTTGACTTGCTCCAGCCACTCGGCCTGGAAAACCCCAAGCTTTTTGGCAGACCTCCGTCCATTCGGATACCGACTGGGATCCGGGTTCGACATTAATTTAGAAAATGGCGGGGGGGGTTAAGCCCATTTTGGGCTTGTTTTTTTCTAAGGATGTCACCTCCCATGGTGGGGTTGGCACTCCCCATTTTCTAAATGGTGAATAAAAGAAAATGGGTCTGGTCAGGAAGGGTTCCACGTCGGACCGAGGTTGGCCCCCCCCTTTTTCTAAATTGAGCATGTTTTATGAAGATGGGGTCGGCCCGCCGTTTTCTAATGAAAAATGGGGTTGGACCCCCCATTTTCTGTAGAAAATGGGGGGGTCCAACCCCACCCCCAACACCAGACCCCGATGACTGGGGATCCCCTTTGGTTCGAAAAGGGAGGCCAGAGTGGAAGACCCCACAAGAAATCCGAGTCCTAATTTGGGAGCACGCACCAGGGGCCCATTTCAGCGCAAGACAGCAGACATTCTCACTGGTTTTGAGCAACATGAACCTCAGAACCGTGATGGGGGTGGTGATTACCGCCAACATCCTGCTCATGGTTGCAGAGACCAACGCCGCTTCGGCTGAAAAGTCCCCTCGGAATTTGCTTAAAAGACAGGGTCGCTAGAAGGCAAATCCATGTGCTTACTTGGAAGCTAGACAAGGTATGTCGTAGATCCGGTTGGTTGGCCAAATGGATTCCTATGGGAGCCTGGACTGGGGATGCACACGACTGGCGCGCATGTCGAGGAAGCCAAGGGTTCGGTGGCGGGGCGTTTGGTTCCTGATGCTCGGGACTGAATTGGTGGTTGCACGTTTAGTTCCCGGAATTCGAAGGGATTTCTTCTACTGTATAACTTTTTGGGTGTCGCATTTTCAGCCAACTTCTCGGATGATACTCTATTGCCGACATTGCCAGCTAGCCAACTTCTCTTTGTCTCTTTCTTTCTCTTCTCTCTTTCCCTCTCTTTTCTCTCTTCTCTCTCTCTTCTCTGTCTCTTCTCTCTCTCTCTCTTCTCTCTCTCTTGTCTCTCTCTCTCTTCTCTCTTCTCTCTCTTCTCTCTCTTCTCTCTCTTCTCTCTCTTCTCTCTCTTCTCTCTCTTCTCTCTCTTCTCTCTCTTTCTCTCTCTCTCTCTCTCTCTCTCTCTCTCTCTCTCTCTCTCTCTCTCTCTCTCTCTCTCTCTCTCTCTCTCTCTCTCTCTCTCTCTCTCTCTCTCTCTCTCTCTCTCTCTCTCTCTCTCTCTCTCTCTCTCTCTCTCTCTCTCTCTCTCTCTCTCTCTCTCTCTCTCTCTCTCTCTCTCTCTCTCTCTCTCTCTCTCTCTCTCTCTCTCTCTCTCTTCTCTCTCTTCCCTCTCTTTTCTCTCTTCTCTCTCTTCTCTCTCTCTCTCTCTCTCTTCCCTCTCTTTTCTCTCTTCTCTCTCTTCTCTCTCTCTCTCTCTGTCACTGTCCCTGTCACTGTCCCTGTCACTGTCTCTGTCTCTGTCTGCGTCTCTGTCCGTCTGCGAATGTGAACAACGCGGAAAACCAACGTAATTTTGAGGTCGACCCACCGAAGGTCGGCAGAGGGTTCGCCTTTTGACCCTGTACCACGACCTTTTGGAGGGCAAATCGGAAAAAAAAGACTACGAGCTTGCGAGAATCAACCCATAATTCCTGGTACGTGGCACATCTATAATGTGCCTGTTTATTCCACGGACGGAAGCTGTGCCCAAGATCTTCCCCCGGATTTTTCCCAGGATTGGCAGGCAGTTTCCAAGGACACCCCTGGCTTTCCTGGAGCTTTCCGAGCCAGGCGGACGCCACCTGCTACCCCGCCTACGTGGATGACTTTGCGCAGTGCCCGAGCCGCAGCACCACGATCTTCTGGCTCCAGGCCGTGCGAAGAAGGGGGGGAGGGGGGGAGGGGGAGGAGGGGGAGGAGGGGGAAGGGGCAAATTTTTGAATTTGTTTGGGGGCTACAAACAATTCCTTAAGGGGGTACACTTTTTAGGGAGAGAGCAGGTGACTGAAAAAGGTTCGGGAATCTTATGACCTGCGAATCGGGGGAGAGGGGGGGGATTGGGGGATCGGGGGATGGGAGAGAGGTGCAGTTCACTGGGGAGGTTTGGAAAAGTCCCGGGCTGCTTTACGTGTCCGGAAAGAGATGGTGCCGTTTGCCCAACTTGCACAAGGGGCTGCTTGGTCTTGCCCATGTTGGCCAGTGTTTTGAACCTGGGCTATGACTCGGAGCTGGGTGATTGGGAAGGGCGATGCTAGGGAAAGCAGAAAGAAACAGGGAGGCTGGGAGGTGGGTTTGCCTCTTGCGGGAGCTCTCAAAACCGGTAATTTTGCTTTGCTTCGCCCTAGAA